CACGTTTGGGCGTATCAACACAAGCAGTCCAAATCTCCGATCGATGGTCATTTTCGTGACACATAGGCAACTATTCGTGGTCAAAATTCTCATTGTGGCACGAACCCCTGTGTGTAATCCCCGGTACTATGAAACAACAACTCAAAGCATTCGGGCTGTTTTACGCCCTCCGAAAGCCACTCAGAGATTATCTAAATTTCTTTTCCATCTTATTGGCAGCACTGCATACGGGTATTGCCTGTTTGCTTGATTTATCACCCACAGTTCCCTTAGATCGTCATTACATCGCTTTTCCATATTTCTTCATCTTCCTCGTTCCGTCGCAATGCCGTGGGAATAAACAAATTTTAGGGGTCCATCGTACGGAGTAAATCATAGCAACGTAGCCTGGAAAATGTTAATTTACGAGATCACTTGTGTTTGACATTTCGGCCCTTCCACCCCCCCCCCCACCTTTTTAACAGTGCTTTGTGAGAGCCTCAAAGCGAGGTACCCTCGTCGGTACCAGAAACCGTCTTTGTTCTTCCCTTAATTAAAGTCATTTTGGGTTGGACGAGGTGATTCTGTGACTTGCTATATGGACTATGACAGAGGATCACTTATTGTGGACAGCCTGGGCAACACGATAAAGTGCGAACACCCATCGTACAGAGTAATTCATAGCAACGTAGCCTGGAAAATGTAACTTTACGAAATTCGGAACATTCACCCCCCCACCTTTTTAACAGTGAAAGCTTCAAGGCGAGGGATTGCGTCTACTCTTGTCGTTACCAGAAATTGTCTTTGTTCTTCCCTTAATTCAAGTCATTTTGGTTTGGACGAGGTGATTCTGTGACTTGCTATATGGACTAGGGCAGAGGCGCATTTATTGTGGACAGCCTGTCCTTGGGGTACACGATGAAGTGCGAATGACACTTGCTAGATAATCTGGGCTGTTTCGACTGTGTACTGTGTCTTCGCAGTTGTCCCTGAACTAGGTACCACCAAATTTTTGCATCAGTGTGATGCGGTCGTTTTCCGGGAACCGGCCTAAAGTCTCTTCGAAACACGTATCAGGTTTTATACAACTCACTCGGTCAATTTTTATGCGTTCGATAAGTTGGTTAATGAAACCTATCAATTCTTGTAGATAATCTTATCTGTTGAACTTGGTTACACGATGTTTTACTTTTAGTTGGACTACTCACGTACACAACACAAACAGTATATCGATTGCGGGATATGAACTCGCACGTGCCTTGCTCATGCTATTCTTCAACTCAACTCTTGTACACACTGCTCCACAGTCCACTGGTGCTTTCGCAGGCCACCGATTTCGTTCCCTTCTTAGGCGTTTGTTGCTCCGTTCAAGGTTTACCCTTTCCCCTATCTATGCTATATCGTCATTCCAGCTCCTTTTGAGCCGCCCAAGTTTGGCTCCACTGCTTTCGACCCATTGTGATGGTTACGACAGCTACCCGTCATTCGCGTAACTACTACAGTCCACTGGTGCTTTCGCAGGCCACCGATTTCGTTCCCTTCTTAGGCGTTTGTTGCTCCGTTCAAGGTTTACCCTTTCCCCTATCTATGCTATATCGTCATTCTAGCTCCTTTTGAGCCGCCCAAGTTTGGCTCCACTGCTTTTGACCTATTGTGGTGGTTACGACAGCTACCTATCATTCGCGTAACTACTTAAATTGCTTGTTTCATGTGAGCAGTGTTTTTGGTTCAAGTTGATGCCTGCTCAACAGCGCCCCAAAACTTGGTGTTTTTTTACAACAACTTGAAATTCAGCACTGAGACTAAACAACACGAAAACATGTTGGTATTTGCACCGATTCGGGTGTGACGCTCATGTGTTCTGATTATTCTTTGCTCTCAGCAGAGAATTAGACGGGGCGGGATGTGTCTCTTGAAAAAGTGGTAGATTTCAGTCCCCTAAGCTGATGCTGACATTGAAACATGTTCCCTCTGAATTGAATTCTATCCACCGAGAAACTTGGAGCAACACAGTTTTAGTTAAAGTTCACACCACATTACCCCGTACTGGGATACCCGATGTAAGTATTCTGGGCGAAGTATATCGACCATTTTCAGGTGATCACATGAACTCTCTCATATGAACTCTCTTCTCGTGGTCTCTCCAGTTTGATGGCCTACCAGAAAATGGAGGTTTCAGGTGTGTGGGTATAATAAACTGGTTGCTTGCATCCTACCCAATTTTGAGTGACAAGGAGACTTTTAACGTCCCTGGCATCCACCTGTTTTGACTGGACTTTCTAGCCCGGTTAGAATCATCATCTTCACTCATGCTCTTATTCAGTTTCTACATTGCCACTTCCGGCTCCGTTTCCTCATCCTTGCTTCTTCAACGAGTCAACTAAAGCTTTGACACCTATCAGTGGGTCTGAGTTATCAATATAGGCAATACGAGCGTTATAGTCTCGGGTCTTCGGAGTATCTACTAACCGTTAGGAGTTTCGTCACAGGTGAGCATCCTTCCCCATTGCACACCACTGTTGGCTATCGCCTTTTCCTCGTCTCTACCTTGTGTGATAACTTCACCCATCCGTTCAACCATCCGCTACCCACAAGGTCCCGGTATGTTCACTCATGGAGCTCCACAATTCCGACCACCTGCCCCATCAGCTCAGTATGGTGGTGCTGATTATGTGGTCACTCCGGCAGACTATGCTGCTCTGAGTCAACAAATGCACGGACTAATGTTCGAACCGGGCATGGGATACGGTGGTCAGCCTCAGAACTATGTCTTTCAAGTAAGCTGGTTCTTCTAAGAACTCCTGAAATCCTGTTACATCCATATTTAGTATGTTTGCAGAGACCTTACTAGTTCCTTATGATGCCTGCCACCACAACCTTACTGGTTCCTTATGATGCCCGTTTGCCACCACACCTTACCAAATGGCAGGTTCCCATGCGCACAGGCACGCGTACATTCTTTCCCCTACTTTCAGACCGTACTTTTTAGTAGCAGCCTGTTCAATCCTTTTTCCGGTCCTGAACTGGCTTGAGATACAATCTAGTAGACCTCTTCGCTGTACGTCTTAAATGTGCTCATGGTAGGGTCGAACGGATCTACTGTGATCGAAAAATGAACTGACCTATTCCAACAGTTATCCACCCCGTTAACATTCGGTGACGAGAATCTGTGAAAATGTCCGCCTGGGAAAATGTCGAATCACAGGGTCAGTGGACTTAACACGAGCCGTATGATCAGTTCATACTCGTTTTGAGTTCGAGCGGATTCCCCTTTGAATTACACTACATTAGATTGATACTTTACAAGCTGACCGTATCAGGACAGGGCTCATTTCCTAACGAGGGGAAGGATGTTTGTTGACTTGATTGTCCCTGTTAAATATCGCATAGTTCTATAGTGGTTGACGGCCCTATGGATTCTCTGGTGAACAGGACAAATTACTAACAATAATAATAATAATAATAATAATAATAATAAAAGTCAGATATAATGTAACAAGAAAAATCCAAGTAAATCTTGACTCACAGTTCTTAATAGGAGATTCCATATTTCGTTTACACATCACACCAAGAAGAGAGAGTTCTACTTTCCTGGTATCCCAAAGCTCCGAGGAATGCAATAGTTATCCATTGAGGTGAATAGATTTGTCCAGTGTTTGTAGCTAAACTATTTGTTCACGGTTAGAGTTAGTAGCAACCAATGATAGCCAACCGGCAGTCACAACAACAGTCACTCAGCAAAAGTCCCAAAGTCACGTTGGGCCCACGAAGCGGACGACTGTGATCGTATTTCAGTAAGACAAACTTGTACAGTAATGTGACCGATGTTGATAAGGAGAAGCAAGATGATACTGAGCTACTGTTCCGGCTGTGCAGACGATATTCCTCGTCTTCCGACACCAAACGTTCCTGCGTTTACCTACGCGGCTCCCTTAGCTTTGGTTTTATAAAGGACCATGGTCAAATGCGTATTTGGTTATGACGTGCATTTCAACCGAATTTAGCCAATCCCTCGTCCATACTGGTCTTCTTCGTCCGGACAATGTGTTGCAATATCTCGAATACCGTACCAACTGAAACATGAGGCGACCTGGTTGACGAATATTATAAACGAGGGGTCCATCTGGGTTTCGATGCAGTATCCCGTCAAAATCAAATTCGTATGCAAATAAGAGTATTTGGCGAATACCGTCCAATTTGGGTTCAAGTAGAACATAAGGTTGACCGAAACTAGGAGACTGCGACTAGCTGGTGTGTCCCTAGAAGAGCGTAACCGGTCGTGGGTTGACAAAGGGTTTTCAGCAATTTTTTAGTTAGTGTGTAACGTGTAAACTTTCAGTCCACTTAATTTGTGGCTTTCCCCACAATAGACTGCCTTGTTGAACTACTCAACCATACGCACACAATGTCTTAGCAGCTGAGCTTGAAGTTGGACTGTCAACTTTGTTTGCTCGGTTGTGTAATATTGTTCATCAACTATGTTCAGTGTCTTTTTGTGATGCACTGCTCATAAGGTTGCTGAAAACTCCTCAACAGCCCACGGTTTCGCCCTTCGTAGGGCTTATCAGGTAGGCACAGTCCCCAAGTTCAGTGTTATTAGTGCACTTTGTTTCCTTGATTTCGGAGACATTTATTGGTAAGAGTCATCTTTTATCGCGGACTTTTTTTCATGTCAGAGTGCAGCCGCGCATACGTCCACATTAGTTTCTTGTTGTTTGTACGTCGACCGATTTCGCCAATATAGTCCTCGTCTTCTGAGACGGACAATGTGCCAGAAGATACTGGACCGGAAATTTAGGTTATGGAATCTAAACATAGGTAGATGATGGTGTTAGATTTGGTCATTTTCAAGGAAGATTTCATCTCAGTCTAGCCTGAAGAGCCAAGAAGCACTCTATGGTTGTTTCATGCCTAATGGAAATCAACAGCATTGCGCATCTCATGAAACTCCAGTAGGGGGCTTCGAACCCTCAATCTCCGGCCAGTGGTTGAACACAACTGTTTGGCCACGAGCGGCTGATCAGCAGTGTGATTGACTCCCACTTAGACAGGACATGGTGCCACTTCGATCACGGAAGCCACATCACGTGGTCACGTAGTGACGACTTGTACGAACGAGGTTTCACTCGTCTTGTGAAGTTGTTCTTGCTCTTAGCTGATTATGTCATGTCTGAATGAGAGCTAATCACACTGCTGATCAGCCGCTCATTGCAAAATGGTCAAGTGTTGAACTAGTGGCCGAACGTTGAGGGTTCGAAACTCCCTACTAATGTTTCGTGAGACGCGCATTGCTATTGATTCTTAACAAGGATGAAAGAGCTGTAGAGTGCCCCTCGGCATAGGCTGGTTTCAATGAAATGGGTCGTTGTTTCGCAATACACTGCGCCTTCTCTAATGACCCTCCTCCCTTTAGTTGTACAGTTGTACAGTGAACGGAATTAATCTGTGGTCTCCCCACTTCTATTTGCAATTTTGATGAGAACTGATCGACAGTTTTCTCCTGTCTCCGCACTATATCATAAGCGATAGATTTATCTGAGTCCCACGTTGGCACTACCTCAGTTCGACTATGGATGTTTAACTACACACTGATTATTATGCAAATTGTGCCTTCCGAACTATCGCTACTTCTTTCACGGCCAAACTAGGTTTGATGTGCACGAGATCGTTTTTGGGAGAAGGTGCTGTGCTGAGCTGTGTTTACGTTAGCTACTGGTTTGACCGCCGTCTGCGTAGATGCGCCCCTTAAGTTCCGCGTCTAATTAGTCATGTTTGATAGAATACTACACGATTGTAAAAATTACAGGCAAAGGAGCCGACCATTTCTCGACATAGACAGTAGTCATGTATTTGAAATCTAACGTGGAATAGAGATTCGAAGGTAAAGACGTCCGTCGTGTTGAAGGATGTGTCGCTAGAAGAGGTGTTCAACAGACTTATTTCACGAACTGGGTCACGCAATAGCACAAGACGTAAAATATGGTCCGAGTTTACCTGTGATATCTGTATGGACCGAGGTATCTTGATCGTATGTGAGACTTGCCTAGTGACTTCGCCGACTTCGGGAGCTAACCTCATCAAACAAACGCTGGGTACGCTCAACTCGAAGTTGTCTTCACTACACCTAAGCTAGACTTTTTGGCGGTCGAAAAATCCCTACGACCGTTGACTTGATGTGGAATCAAAACGGATGTCTCCACCTAATTAAGGTGTCTAACCTACTCACCCAAGCGCCTGAGTTAGGGAAGGTTGGAGTCTTCCATGCGAAAGCACTCAAAAGGGTATCACATGCCTTTGATCTCTGTGTTGCGTAACTTCTAGTTACTAGGACGATGTTCTGGCGGATTAGTGCATGGGTTTGTTTGTACCTAAGCCACCGTTTCTGTCCATCGTAATTCCTGAACTTATCTTGCTTTCGATCTCTTGTTCTGTTAACCATCCTGGTCACCGAATAGTTCGGAGCCCGGCACTTCCCAACGACCCTACGGATTGCCGACCTAATTGATGCAAAACCCTTCCTTGAGCATCTTGCTCGCCTGACTAGTTCATCTGCTGAACCATCCTGGTCACCGAATAGTTCGGAGCCCGGCACTTCCCAACGACCCTACGGATTGCCGACCTAATTGATGCAAAACCCTTCCTTGAGCATCTTGATCGCCTGACTAGTTCATCTGCTGAGATTCGCCTCTCGTCGGCTTTAGTTTCTCTCAGTCGTCGAGAGGTGGTTATCTTCAGTGTGGCTATATTCACTACTGACTGTGCAAGACAGGTTTCAGGCGTCTCCGTTTTCTCAGTCCGTTAGCGTATTTGATAGGTCGCGAGTAAGATCTAAGGTTGGGGGTGACTGTTCCGGGGGATAATTTGAATCTCACTGGTGCTTTCACAAATCGAACCCACTGTTTTTATAGCTGACTCTCGGAATTTCTCTCTACTTTCAGAAATGATCCTTCACGTCGCCTTCGGCGTAAGATATTCTCATATTCCCATATCCCCACAGCACCTCAGGATCTCGCCAGTTAATCTTGGCATATTGTAGGCATGATTCTTAGTACAATTGGCTGTGAAATTACTGAGAAAATATTGTTTCTGGAAAATAGTAGGCTTTTTCAATCTCAAGGAAGTCCCGATAATCGCCAAACCATAAAAATGGACTTAATGTAGATCTTGTGAACAACTACACTAGCTTCTGAAAAGCCTACTCACACGAAGTTAGAACCACTTATGAGTTTAGGGTGATCAGCCATGTGACCTTTCGGTTTGCAGTTCCTGCCCACATGTTGTTGTGTCCACTGTGCAACGTGAATATGGTAGACGTTCTTTTAATATACCACAAACCACATAGCAGGCGCAGGGATGAAACTTATATTCAGACTGAGGAAACTTGCTGAGAGGTAGTGTTAGTCCGTTCTTCAGAATAGCGTAGGTACGATTTTTAGACAGAATTATTTTTTGTCGGGGATTACCAGAACAGGGGAGCAACTGTTTCAGTGATAGTGATGTGCGTACAGAACCTCCATCTGCACACAGATAGTCAGATTAGTTTTCCCGTCAGATTCCAGACTAACTGCTTGGCGAGTCCTTACGAATTGGTCGGCCAATCGGTGCAGCCAAGACAGTCATTAGAAGTTTCTAGCAAACCAGTGGAATCGCTCTGAGTTCGAACATGCTCGTCCGTTTAAAATGGGATAATTCAGTTGTATCCGTTATAAATTGGCGGAGTGGCGGTAACGTACTCACCTCACTTGGAGGATGAATGGAATGATGAGCTACAATAGGAGAGAACCACGAGTCCAGTGCTTCTCCCTACCTTGTCTTTTCGGACTTAGCTATGCTTGGCGAAACCCACAGTGGGTTAGCAGTGGTGGAGCTCTGTCAAGACCGAACATACTCGTTTATTTCCTTTTGCGAGCCCGCGGCTGCCAATAAAAGTGAGATCGGATGTTCCAGTTCGGTTTCCGAATGGTTCATCCTGCGGCGGGGATTCCATACCTTCACACTATGGTGAAAAACTCCGTGGGACCCCGTATGTCTTGATGCGTGTGGTGATAATGTAGCTCAACAATGCACTATCTTGTTTTTCTCTTAAGACTAGATTATCTGGGTTTCACACACACTTTTACGTCAAATCCATTCGGTTTTTGTCACCAACGAGGGCTTGATTGACTGTTTTCAACACCTACCGTCGATTGTGCAAGAACTTTTTGTTCGTTCATTTGTATGCGGTTTGGTGTACATTCGGTATGTCACCGCCTTTTTCAGATTCAGGAGAGTATGGAGAAGTCAACTGTCGAACAATAAGCTGGACGCGTCTCTTCAAAAGTACATAGGTACTGGAGAGATAAGACAAGAGTTTGTGGGGTCAATAAGTAAACAAGTGCTAACGATATGACCTACTTTTCCGGGGTGAAAGCCTGCCAAGTGTGGACGCCGCAAATCTGTCTTCGGCTGTCACAGGATTTTGGCCACACCAACAGCGTTCATACGCAAATAACTGCTCTAGTTTTGCGTAAATAATGTTAGTCTCCACTCACTGTTACAAATAGATTAGTGGGGAGCCCATTTGATCACGTCTTACCGACGCGATGTTCATAGCCAGTGTGTTAATGTGAACCGTAGATCTAATTGGACGGGTTAATTTTTACAAACTATGTGTGGACTGTATCCTAGCAATCACGGACTCCATTATCTGAATCGTGGGGCTGTTAGAGGCATTGAACACTGCTCACCCACACATCGAATGAACAACTGAGCACGGATTGAATATCTTTGTACATATCCAGTTGACTCACCGAGACGATGGGATTCGATTATTTGACCGGGAACACTTGGACCGACCAAGATCTCTAATTTTCAATTTTCGTGACAATATTCTACATTAGGGGTTTAGTTTGAACGTTACACGACAGAACGATAGAAATTTTCGCGAGCGGTGCTATCAACGCAGGACTTAAATACCTGGAGGTGATTTGCGTTCAAATGGATGCTTAGTGGTTTGTAAACAAACACAGCATGTTTCGGCTGAGGAAGGAACGAATCAGTCGGGTTTTGAAACAAAACTTTTCTGGAATCTGGAATCCAGAAATAGCACTATTAAGCTAGCTGGGTGGTGTTTAGCGTCAACTGTAAACACCACTACTGCACCGCCGAAGCTATAGTCACCAGCGGCTGCAATTGAATCCCGACAAGTGCCACTACTTTAATGCATCATGTCTGATCTTTTTTCGACGTTTTACATGCGGATGCTCATTCATTTACCTGGGGAGAACTGAGTGGCACACTTGATTCAGACAGGCTGGACACATCCTGATGTGGATGCAGCAGCATCATCTCGTCTAAATCTTTCAACCCGTCTTATCTGCAGTCCGTCATTTATTTGAAACCGGGCATTGGCTGCGTTTTACACCCTATATGGATTCGCAATTCGCTGAATCCATTGACATAGGAAAATCGAATTCAAAACAGTGTACAGGAAGAAATCGACGATATTTTGCCACTCTCCTTCTGAGTAACTCATTCCAAGCTTCTAAGTGGCAAAAAATTCTGCTCTGTTTTGTTCCAGAAGGGCTGGGCAAACAATCGGTAGATTTTTATTTGGGCAACGTTTCGACTTCGACACAAGTGAGCAGGTCACCAAGTTGGCAGACGGAGAACCATTCAGTAAGATGTATTTATATTAGCGCCGAGTGAGTGTCAATTAACAGCTCCTCTCGGTTAGCGTGGTCACCAAAATTTTGCCTTGTTCTGTTTCATTCCTTCGGCCTTCTTCCACTGCATATACCTGAAGCGGTAGAACAAAATGTACCTAGTGTATGGTGCAACACTTCTCTTCCCTTTCCAAGCCTATGATTGAGATGTGTTTTTTAGTTTCTGTTGCTCAGTCGCAGTGGAAGGGCAAGTTTGTTCTGACTACTACAATCTCATGTCGGGGACGGGGATAATGACAGAATGGTGGTGCGTACTGGACACAACAGTGCAATCAGTTACGTTGAAAAGTGCTCCTTTCCTCATAAGGTTTAGGAAGGGCATACGTAAATGGCGGGAGATTTTACACACAGGCGTTACGATCTGTGACACTGCGCATGCCAAACTGCCGAGCAGTTTCGTATCGAATCATTAGGGTTCAGCTAGTGACGTACCCAGATTCGTTTCGATTCGCTTCTGGAGGAAGATGAGTTAACTTCTACCAGCTACAAACGATTAGTTTAAATCCAGTTTGTCTGACTTACACGGTGTTCTATCACACTTGCCTACCTCAGTTTAGTCCTACCTAAAGCTTTGCAACAACAGCTACAAAGCTCCGACATGTACAGAACAGTGTATGCTTGTTTTCCTTACCAATTTGATGCACATTTCTTTGTTTCGCCCACAGCCCACAAATATGCCAAGCGGTGGTAACCGTGGTGGCTACGTGCAGCGCCCCCAACGTGGACGTGGGCGGGGCGGTGGACGCGGTCAGCAATTCTAAACGCTTACTCATCGGTCCATACGTTTTTCACTGTTGGTTTCGTTCTGAACCTTACTTTTAAAGAGTGTGCGATTTCGTGCTCTCTTTTCATTGCTACTGCCGATTTATTCACTCTGCTTTGTCTGGTGTTGCTGTTTTTTTACTTACTTGGGGAGGAGGGCACAAAGGGAATTGGGCAGGAAAAGCATTGGTTGAGCAGCTGCACGACACCCATGCCCAACATTAGTTGTATCCTTTGGATGCTTCCTTCCGTCTAGTCGAAGCCGTTGAGAGCTGAGGTTATGATGATTCTCACAGAAGTCACACTATCTGCCATTTGCGATTGCGTGGACTACCCTCTGGTGTGGATCTCCGAGAACAGACTGATTTGCATGGGTGAATTAATGATCGAAACCAAACAGTGCTCGTCCCGTTGCTTAACACAATGCAATTATGAGGACTGTGTGCCGCTGCTCTGACCTCACTTCAACAGTAGGAGTAGGTAGGTTAGGGACGTTGCCAGCAGACTTCAACGTTGTTCATTAATCTTTCTTNTAGAATGATTAAGTGCACATCTATTTCGGCATTCCCGTGAAACCGTGTGGCAACTTTCTCTCGAAGAAGTTTGTATCAGCTCTAAAAATGACTCGAATCGATAAGCATGACCATCAGTGAGGTCCGAATACAGAAAATCCAGTCTCTGTTTTCTTACCTAGTACTGGGGGCCCATAGTCCAACTCTAACTGTTGCGAGCTGGTTCCCGAATTATCTCCCGCTTCGATACTGTTATCCATAACAGGTCAGTGGTGACGTGGAGACCTTGCGCATTTGAGAGTCTGATGTACGAAAACTTGGTCCCACCCGTTCTATTTGGCGCCGCTTGATCAACTTGGAAAGGCATGAAACATTTTAAGGACGTTCTTGGGCAGTGTTGTTGAATACTCTGTCATTCCATTGTATTCTCAGCACTCATCGTAAACATTAGTGGTCAAATACCTCGAGTCTGCGGGTTAGATGGGAGAGACATGACCCAACACATTTCAGATTTGATCGGACAGTCACAATGTGTGGATTTTCTTTCTAAGGCCAATCTCTGAACGTCTCTATGCTCGATTGTGACGCTGCACGGAAGTCCTGGTGTTTTCAGTGCAAATAACCATCTTCTGTCGCGCTTGACTAAAGAGGTCAAGGAACCGATTTGGTTTGCTGGACCTCCTTTGACAGTCGGTTAGATTGGAGGTTTACGCATACGCTGAGGGACGTTTTCCTCATTTATTGGTAGTCCACAGGGAAACATGATGACTGGTGTGGTTAGGGATGGCCTACGTCTCAGCTGAATATTTTCTCAGGACGATTATACCATTAGCGTAGGTATGGTCTGTAACCCAGTACTTCTTATTTGTGTCCTCGGGAATTCGCTGAGAACGTTCGACACCGTCCAGTCGGTAATGATGTAATTCACAAAGAATCAATAGCCATGTTGAACACTGGAGATCCAAAAGTCACCGTCCTGGGATGCATTCCTTCAGGCTCAGATGAAATTCAGTAGCTTGTCTGGTACACCATTAACCAAGTCGAGTTCTCTACGAGAGTCAATGAGTCGATTGCATATCGGCATTTGTGATGGTGTCCCAAAGCATGCCGCAGCTTATACATTTAGTCAACGCAGTCTCTTCCCGAACGATATCCGCTGATTTGGTATGACATGAAACAGTCACGCTTCTTTGGGGTGACGAAAACTTTGGCTGAGGTATCTAAGAGGCTGGTATCCGGGTGGTCTTCGCATAATGTGCGATCACCCTTTCTGGCATCAGGAGTAGGTTGACGCACTCTAGTTAGCTAGTCACACTTTGGAATCTAATATTGAAAATGGTCGGTGGGTAGGCTTTGTAGGTAGGTCATTTCTCTTCTCGTTTTATCCTTTCCATTACCTATATTGAGACGATTTGGTGGCGACAGGGTGCCAATGTCGGTGATCCTGACGATGTCCGAGTGTGTATCAATGTTCACAATATGCTTTACAAATGCGCACTTTTAAGGAAGCATCTTTCTGACTCGTGTTCCTAGCAGAAATTAATTGTGTAGTAGGTTGTCAGATTCCATCTAGGCTAGACCCCGATGGTGGACAAACTACCTAGCAGCGAGGCATCGGTGTTGAACGCTGACGTCATGCTGTCCATGATGATGATGCGGTCTTAGTTCCTTGAGTGGTGTAACACTGGTACAAACAGACTTTCCAAGTGTGCACAAATGAAATGATGAAAGTACGGAATCTGATTAGTATCTGTTGTTGAACTGGTTGGTTGCCTTTTCAGACTTACTTATGAGCAGTCACTTGGTGCCGTACGGCGCTCCTTATTTGAAGGGTTAAGTCCTAATATCCTTTAGAGTCAATCGTGTCAAGTGGATTGTGCTTGTCTGATTAATGAGAAATAAATGCTTGGCAAAGCGGCAGGGCTTGACTCTTGCTGTTATTCCGCGGGTTATATTACTAAAAGCTTCGCTTTTCACTATCCAACTTTGCCAGAAAAATTAAGAGAGCGATGAGCCAATATACTCATATAAATCCAATGAAGTGGTCTAGACCTAAGGTGAAAAATTCTCCCACATCTATGCATTAGCCGCTTCGTTTAACATGGAAACGGAGATGCTGTTTTCACCGTGGAACGGAGAGCTACAAGAGGCCTGTCAATTTCTTGCTGGTTGCCAGCGTATGTCGGCTCAGTGCTCATTACGGTTGGAGTAAACCCAGAGGTCAGAGGATCCATGAAGTTCAGCGCATCCGTTCTATGTGAACTATTTACAAGTGTAACTTATACTTTACTTAGGTCCTCAAGTTGAGGTGATTTTTCGGATAGGACGGACTCAGTGACTAAGGCGCGAAACGGCAGGCTCGTGGCGCATTTCGGCTGCTCCTGTTTAGGCTTGGGCAACCTGTCAGGATCTCCATCATCTTGCTTCCTATCGGTGGCACGGCATCTGGGCACCGAAAGTTTTTACAGCTGGATGGTTATTTTTATTACCTATTGTTATGGATAGGGCCCTTAAGAAAAACCTTGCGGCCATCTGCTGTCTTTCGAATGATAATTGAGCAAAATGCTCAATACAGAACCTCACTAGCATCTTTGTTTTGCGCGACCAAGAGGCATCATTGAAACTCAAAACAGGTGTTTACAATTCTGTACCTCGTGCCAGTTGGTTTCGGACATTGCTGTCTCATTCACCTAGCTGTTAAATTAAACACTGCACTTTATAGATCCTCTTTACCGGTTTCGGACATTACTGTCTCATTCAACTAGCTGTTAAATTAAACACTGCATTTTATAGATCTCTCTTTACCGAGTCCACGTTTGCTTTGTTTTTTCAAGTTCTTTGTCCTCAAAGGGAAAATGACTTCTAATTTCTGTCGATATGGCCCCTGTAATGATTATTCATTGTTTTGTCCTCCGAACGACCGGGAAAAACGTCCATCTGGTAAGTCCCAAATGAGACAAATCCTGTAATTTGTTACACCAAAACGATGCAGCCCCCAGTGAATATCGTCGAAACCGTATACCGGGGAAGCTTGCTGCACACTATGCGGAGGAATACCAATGTGTTACGGGCTACGAGGGACTACGTCAAGCTTTCAAGCCCAGGAAACTCAACGCGCGCATAAGCGTCTTACACTATATGAAATTATACTTGAACGGGTCTCAGTTTAGGGTGTCTCAGATAGTGTTCATTCTTCTGGAGAGACCTCTTCTTGTCAGTGGTCGGTGCACAATCTTTCCATAGACCTACGGGCACTCTGATGGTTACTCTGCTGACCATTCTTATACCCCATGTAATTTTCATGTATACGTCTCTGGCATGATCACATCGGGATCACGTGGCTGCAACACAGATGTTCCAGTGGATGCTCCATTTTGTCGGAGTATTGTGGAACCGTTGGTTCATACAAATGTCATCTCATATCTTGGGAACTATCTATAACCTTCATTTAGACCGTAAGTTCTCAACTTACTCAGCTTGTCTGATAACCGGAAAACGTGCAACCCAGTTTCACCTTGTTGCCAACGAGATGCCGCCCTTCTGTGGTAAACCCAAAATTGGAATACCAACACCTCATGAGTTATCATTTCCTGATGTGTCTTATTCATCATAATTTCCCGTGTATATGCTCCTCGTCTTGGAGGCAAAATTTCAATCTGTTTATTCTGTATGATGCATGTATACAAAAGTCGAAAGTGAAAGTTTCAGTACAGTGGCTGTTCATATCATGCATAGGTGATCCAAGCCTCAGCATTCTAGATGTTTATTCTTGATTAGGAATGCGGCCAGGTACTCGATTGGTTTCGGAGGCCTGAAATATGCTTGTCACCACGGAAGTCAGTGGGATCAACTTACCTTTCTTTCACGAGACTTTGTAGACCAAGGATCAGGACGGGCACAACAGTTTTTTCTAAATAGTGTCGTGTTGGCAATGCCTGAAGCTCTACCGGGTCAGTATCCGGCTTTCGGGTTGACATGATAAGTTGGACGAAGTCAATTAGCGATGGAGCCAGCTGTACTGGAAGTGATTTTTCTACGTCTCCACCAACTACTTCAGCTTCGACAACTTCGGATTCGACTTTGCTTCTCTCCATTATGTCTGCAGAACTGAAAGGGTGTTTATGCGAATCCATATACAATTCATGCGAATTAGTGTGGTTTAAAAGGAAAATGCTCAAACTATCCACGGGATGATGCGTTTAAGGTCGGAAAATAAAAATGTCCGGTGGAAGGATTGGATTCATGATTGTAACATGTGGCAAGTTGTTAGGAACGCCGCGTTACGTCAGCTACCGCCTCTAATGTGCAGCTATCTACTCCATCTCCCTAATTCATCGGTGAACCAAACTGTGGTGGTTATTGTACGCGATGATGTCATTGGGTCTGGAATATATATATATATATATATATATATATATATATATATATCTGT